GGGTATATTCCCAGTAATGGAATTGCTGGGTCAAATGGTATTTGCAACTTTTTGAGAAAGCGCCATACCACCTTCCATAGTGATTGCACCATTTTACACTCCCACCAACAGTGAATGAGGGTTCCAGTTTCTCCACAACCTCGCCAACATTTGTTGCTTGCGAGATTTACTTCCTCTTAAAGCACACTGGAAGGTCAGATGTGGATTGGTTCCAACTTGATTGATGGTGCTCAACAACAACACAATGGATTAGTGTCAAACAATTCTTTTTGGTACAGTGACTGTTTCTTCCACTTCTTTTCCCCCCTTCTTCCATCTTCTTTTGATGCTTCCTGCTTCATTCAGAATTTTCTCATAGCATCTTTCAAGTATTTTAACTTGAGGCTTGAATTTGTTCTTCAGCTCTTTTTGTTCTTTCTGCTTCAGAAAAATGCCGAGTTCTTCCCTTTTGGTTTTCTAACTCCAGCTCTTTCTATGTTTCATTTTAATACTTGCCTTGGTCATCTTGAGCTGCCCTTTGGAATCAGTTCAGCTTTCTCATTTCAGTATTGCTTCTCTTTGTTTTGGCTTCATTTCAGTGCAAAGTTCCAGTCTCCTCTGACACTCATTTTGGTCTTTTCTTTCCTCCCTTCCTTTATAATGATGTTTTGCTTTCTTTATGAGTGATGTTGTAAAAAGGGCGAAGATCACATACGGATTGCCATATCTGATCTTTACTAACTTCACAAAGGGGACCTGTCCCTGCCCACAGTATCAGTAACACAAAACCAGTTCCCATGAGTTCTGACATGTCCCCCATGCTCCCATACCTCTTTCGACCCATCTCAGGACCAACCTTACTGCTTTGCTGGGTTAAAAATCCAATGTGATAGATAGCTCACAGAACACACAGAACCATACTGAAGAAGTCAAAAGGTTATAATCCTGGTTAATAACAATACAGTTAAGACAGCTCCCGAAATGTGCACATAGGCCCCTTAAGCCTCGTGGCCTTAGGCCATTGTTCCCAAGTTCTCATTCCTGCCAGTATTGGCTTCCTACCCCCAGTTATCCAACAAAGTTCTCAGTCCTGCTAATATTGGCTTCCCACCCCCAATTCCCCAGCAGAGTTCTTGGTCCTGCCTATATTGGCTCTCCCCCAACCCCCAAAGTCTCGTCTCACATCATGTCTCCCTCTCAGCCATGTCTGCTCTTTTCCTGATGGAGAGGTTTCTTTACTGGTGGTGGCTCTTCACTGGTAGTGGGAAGATCTGTCTCTCTCCCTTAACTCTGGTTTACTCAATTTACTGGTGAGACTTGGCAGTCCTTTGTAGAATGTTAAGACGCACCAATCCTTTTGTGTAATGGTAGGTGGCCAATCCCATGTGGATAGGCTAACATGTGTATTCCCACCTATCCACGGGGTTAGGCCAGATTCTGAAGGCTAGTAAAGCCATATTGAAAGATAACTCCAGGGGAGCTCTGGTGGCCTAGTGGTAAGGAGCTGCAACTACAATCCCAGAGGCTCATGGTTCGAATCCACCAGATGCTTTGCTGAGGAAGGAGGGACAATTTCCTCCTGTACCAGTCAGATATAATTTGATGGTACACTCACACAAAAATAATAATAATAAAAAAAAAGAAAGAAAAATAACTCCAAAGATGTCCCTGTTGTCCTCCAAGAAGTCCTGATCTGTTCAGTGCCTCAAAACTGTTCATGAGATGGTTTTTTAATTCCATTGGTATAGAATCAGGGTCATATTTTGCTTCTTGTGGACTTACTTTCATTTTCTTCAGCTTCAGGAAATCTAACCTTTCGTGTTACATAAATTCCCCTCTCTCAAATGACTGAGCCAACACTTTTTTACAAATTCTTTATGACAGTTAGCTTTGCTTACTGTATGTGCACCTTTTACATCTTTGGACAGTCTCTGAGCCCCTTCTTGCACTAAGTTGTTGCCACTAGGCAGCACTGAATCAGCTCCAACTCATGTGAACCTACTTAGAATATACTGGAACACTGCCAGTACCATCCTTACAATCCTGTCACTGCTGTCCTTTAGCTTATTAGTGTAGCAGTTTCATCACCCTCTTGTGTAGATGGTATTCTGATTTTTTACTGACTCCCTACCAGAATGATATTGTTCTTCACAGACTGACCTCTCCCAAAAACATACCCAAACCATATGAAGCCACTCACTTCAAAGGAGTACTCGACTGTGCTTCTTCCAAGACAGATTTGTTATCTGGCAGTCTGTGGCATAGTCAATCTTTTTCGCCAGCACAGTGATACAAAGAGCAGTTCTTGGGTCTTCTTCATTTTCCAACTGTCACGTGTATATGAGGCTCATAAAAGCACCATGACTCGGATCAGGCACACCGTAGTCCACAAAGTAAAATCCATGCTCTTGACACACTTTACAAAGGTCCCTGTAGGAGCAGATATGCCCAGTGCAGTTTTTTTCTCCCCCACTAGTTTTGATTTGATAGGAAATTTGCAAAGAAATTGTTTATTCATTCACATGTTCATTTTCTTTTCTGTTGCCTCTTTGGACACTGATTGTGGATCCAAGTTAAATGAAATCCTTGGCAGCTTTAATCTTTTCATTGATTGTCATGATGTTTTGTATTGGTCCAGTTGTGAGAATTTTTGTCTTTAATGAGAATTACACATACTGAAGACTAGAATTTTTGATGTTTATCAGTAATTACTTCAAATCTTCATTGTTTTTAGCAAGCAGAGTTTTGTCTTTGTATCACAGGTTAATGAGTCTTCCTCCAATTATAATGTGCTCTTCTTTTTCATGTAGTCTAGCTTCTCATATTGTTTACACAGCATAAGAATCAATAGATAGAGTAAAAGGATACAACTCTGATGCATACCCTTCTTGGCTTTAACCCTTGCAGTATCCCTTTGTTTTGTCTGAACAACTGCTAATTGATCTATATACAGAGGCCTCATATGTACACTTAATTATTCTGAGATTCCCATTCTTCACAATGTTATCCATAAATTGTTATGATCTACACAGATGAGTGCCTTTAAATTGTCAGTAAAACACAAGTAAACCTCTTTCTGGTTTTTCTTTGCTTTCAGCCAGGATGCATCTGACATCAGCAATATCTGGTTCTTTGTCCTCTTCTGAATCCAACTTGCATTTCTTGTAGTTACCTGTCACTGTATAGCTTCAGCCATTTTAAATTATCTTTTGCAAAATTTTACTTTTCGTGTAATAGCAATGATATTGTTAAGTGCTTTCCACATTCTTTTAGATCACTTTCTTTGAAATAGGCACCAAAGGGATCTCTTTGAGTCAGTTCATAAGTAACTTCCTTGTTTAGTATAATTTGACCTACGTCTATTAGAAGGTTGGTATTTATGTTTTAAACCTATTGCTCACTCATTGTTGTCAAGTCAAAGAAGCCTATGACTGACCCTTCAGGGGGTTTTCCAAGGCTGTGAATCATACTGGAATAGATTCCCCCTGTTTGTCCCAGGCAACTGCTGGTGGATTTGAACTAGCTGTCTTTAGGTTAATAGTGCAACTACACCAGCAGTTTAAAATCTATGAAAAAAATATGGAAATAATAATTGTTGTTTAGCATGGTAATTTTTTTTTGAGACTTTTTCTGTTATCATTATGTATAGTGTTTGTCTCTTTCCAGTAAATAGTCAATTGTATTCTAATTTTACTTATATTCTAGTTTTCCCATACTTGTGGGGTTTTTTAATGTTCACAACTTGTTTTCATATGATATGTTAAATGAAATTTTCCCTGAGATGAGCCAATTATTTATACATTACTGTCTCCTTTATACATTTTATATATGTATGTTAACTTTTATTTGTATGTTACTCTTATTTTGTCTGTAGATTTCTGTGCAAAGCCAAATTTTCTTGATATTTTATTATATCATCTCCTTTAGTTTAGGTATTAAACTGTTTCATTTCTTGAAAAATTTTTTTACCAATTCTCATTTGCATTTTCTCACAGATGAGCTATACAGTATCTTTTGTAGGTTTCAAAAATAAATTCTCCCCAGGATTTTGACCTAGTCTTTTACTAAGACTAGGGAGCTCTGTTAAGTCCATAGAAGTTGTGCTCCTATCCCAAAGGTGGCATCTCTCTGGCAGTTTGAATTCACCAGCAGCCATTGTTTAGCTGGGCAGATAGCTGTCCTTTTTGAACCACTAGAAACTAAGCTGAAAAGAATAGCCTGAAAGAAAAGACTGCTGATGTAGGATGAGAGAGAAGAATGTAGAGTATTCCGAAGCCACAAGCAAATACTTGCTTAAAACTGAGGATTAGAGTCAGAAAGTTAGTCTTATTCTCCATCATCAACATTCTCAGCTAAGCAAATAACTTGAACTTTCTAAATTATTTCTTCTTCTAGCAAATATGATATCTCTCTCTTTTTTTATTCCTCAGTGAACTAAGAATAAAGACATTTGTTAATGTGTGCTGTTGAGTCCAGATAGACTCATACCTAACCCTCCAGTGGGTTATTGGAGGCAGTAAGTCACACAAGAGGAGACTGTCCACCTTTCTCCCATGGAGCACTGGTAGATTTGAACCATGTGCTTTTGAGTTGGCAGCATAGCTCCTTACCAGTAGGCCACCAGTGCGCCCTTAAATAAATACAGTGGTATATTAAAGTTTTGATTGTCCAGTGGTTACAAAAGATAGAGAGAAGGGAGTACAAATTAGTTAATAGATGGATGTGTTACATGAAGGAAAGGCAGTATACAACAAGAGGTTGATCAGACTTGTAATTCATTTACTACATTAATTTATTGTCATTAATGTTATAAAGCAATATATATAAATGACTGATTGAATGAAAACCAGTGTGCTTTGTAAACTTTCACTCAGAGAGTTTGTTTTCTTTTAGGGGTTCTATGATGTCCTACGAAGGAACTCTCAGCTGGCGAATTCAGTCATGCAGACTCTGCTGTCACAGGTAAGAGCTTTATCAATAAAGAGAAACAGATAATAAGGCATTTAGAGAAGATACTGGCCTTTTAGACTCCAAGATATATAATATTCTCAGCTAGTGCATTATGGACACACCAAGAGTTTTCTTATAATTACCACGTATCTGTCTGCCATGGGACTCTAGTTGTATAGTATAAAACATAAAGGACTCCTGATCACAAAGTCACCAGTTCAAATCTACCATATGCTCTTCAGGTGAAAGATGAGCAATCTCCTGCCATCAGCGTTTACAGCCTCGGAAGCTAGATGAGTTGGAACCAGCTCTATGGCTGTGAGTTTGCTTTGGCTTGTGGTTATCTGTCATCTCCGTCATCTCTGACTTCACAGTCTACAGCCTGCGTAAGAAGGATTCATAGAAAGGCTGTTAAACACTGTAGTGGTTGTATTTTATTTTTTAAAGAAAAAAGAGGAGAGGAGCTGAAGCAAATGCTAACATCTGTTAAATCTGGGTTATCAGACACCTATATATCCATTATGTTAATTTCTGTACTTTTCAGTTTTAAAAATGTTTTTAAACTATAAAACATTTCAGAGAACAATCATGGATTAGAAAATTCAGATTACAAATATTTTATATTAATAAGGCTTTTCTTTTATAGTCAACATTTATTCCTTAGGCAATTATTTAAATCGTTATTTTTTAGAGGGGACAAATAAAATTTATTGATATATAATTTAAAGACACTGTAGTATCTAAGTAAGAGAAAATGGAACACTGAGGTACAGGGTCATGAGCATCTTTCTGAAAGGGCCAGAGGGAGTGAGAATAACACAGCTCCTCACCACCCCAGAGCAGAAAGCATATAAAGAGCTTATAGTACAGCCACATGGTGCCTATAGAGCCCCACCAGCAGCAAGAGGTTTGTTTATTTATTGCTGACTCACAGACTCACAGTTGTGGTACTGAGAATAGGGTTTATTAGGGAAGTAAGTTGTAGAGTAGAGGAGGCGAAGAATATCACCCAATACAAGTCCAGGTTTTAGCCCAAGTTCCAAGGCACAATTCCTCAATTGGTCCAGGCTCTGGTTTCAGATCAGCAGTCAAATCCCAATCATCCAGCAAGGTTTGCCTCAGAACAAACAAGCATCCAGCAAGTTATAAGTCAGCTGATACTATTGGCAAACACTTTTAACTGTGGCCTTTATCTCAGGGCTCTTATACTTACATCTTGCCACAGTTTCTCCACAGCCATTCCACAGTCTCTCCAGCACCATCACCAGGGTCTCGCCAACAGGGTCTGCTCCAATCTCCCTCAAGTGTTGGTGTCACAAATTTTGCTTGCCTCAAGTCTTGCTGCTCAGTGTGGGAAGCACTCATTCTCTTATCCTAGTCCCACAGCTGTAGGTGATTTTCAAGACCAAACTGATCTACAAGACAATGTGCCTGCAGTTAAGGTAGCTGAAGACCAGGGTGGGCTAACTAATGGCTAAGAAAAGTTAACTTTCAGGCTAACACCACAATCCCTTTAGAGTGAACAACTTGGTGAGTTTTAGTATACTCACAAAATTATATAACACTTAACCACAGTCAATTTAGTACATTTTATCTCTGCCTTAAAAAAATTCCATAATATTGGCCCTTTGCCACATTAACTGCGAGAATGAAGATCATTCTCAGCAACCAGACTGTTGACATTCCAGAGAATGTCCACATTTACTTTGAAGGGCCGCACAGTTATCATGAAAGGCCCGTGGGGAACCTTGTGGAGGGACTTCAGTCACATCAATGTAGAGCTCAGTCTCCTCAGAAAGAAAAAGGCTTCATATTGACAAATGGTGGGGAAACAGGAAGGAACTGGCTACTGTTCACACCTTCTGTAACCATGTACAAAACATATCAAGGGTGTTCCACTGGGCTTTCGTTACAAGATGAGGTCTGTGTATGCTCATTTCCCCATCAATGTTGTGATTCAAGAGAGTGGATCTGTAGTTGAAATTTGAAACTTCTTCATTTGGAGTTTGAATGAGACCAGGTGTTGCTTGTTCAGTATCTCAAGCCCAGAAAGATGAGTTAATTCTTGAAGGAAATGATACTGCGCTTGTATCAAATTCAGCTGCTTTGATTCAGCAAGTTATAACAGTTAATAAATAACAAGGATATCCGAAAAATTTTGGATGGTATCTATGTCTCTGAAAAAGGAACTGTTCAGCAGGCTGATGAGTGATAGCTAGGAGTTTTCCAGCTACAGAAATGAGGCCGGTCAAGTCCTATGCATCTGATTTCAAAATGCATCTGATTCTTGTAATAAAATTCTATTCATTTGAAAAAAAAATTCCATAACATTTAGGTAAAGCTATAGCAAATAATCTATTGTCTGTTTGTATTTATTGACCTATTTGAGACCTTTCCTATAATTGAAATTAAATCTTTTTTTCTTGGCTGGCTTCTTTCACTTACCATATGTATTTAAATGACATATATGTTGTAGCATAGTACATGCCTACTTCCTTTTTATGGTTGAATAATATTCCATTCTATGATATTTGAATTTTTTTCCTATGTCAAAGTAGTTACTGGATAGTTAATGATAGTAATAACACTAGCTAAGGTCTAGCACTAATTAAGGGCCAAGCATTGTATAATGAGGTCCATTGCAAAGACACAGGAGTAAGAAAAGACTGAGATAGATGTCAGTAGAAACACTGAAATATTGCACTAGAGTGCTGAGAAGCCAAAGCAAAGGAAAGACATAAGGCAGTTAATGAGCTAAACAGAAGATTTCAAAGGACAGCTTGAAAAGACAATGCAAAGTATTATAATAAAATACGCAAAGAGCTGAATTTGGAAAATCAAAAGGTCCAAACTTGCCCAGCATTTACGTTAAAGGAACTAAAGAACAAATCTAAACACTGAATTGTAGTACTTAAGGATGCTATGGACAGAATATTGGATGATCCCGGAAACATTAAAAGAAGATGAACTGAGTGCAGAGTCACTGTACCGGAACAATTTGGCTGTCACGGAAGAATTTAATGAAACAACATGTGATCAAGAGGCAGTGGTGATGAAGGAAGAAATTCGAGCTGCTCTGAAGGAATTGGCGAAAAACAAAGTCCCAGGAATTGATGGCATACCAATTGATATATAACAACAGGTGTATGATGCCCTGGATGTACTTACAAGTGGTGCCAAGACATCTGGAGGACAACTACCTGGCCAAATGACTGGAAGAGAGCCATATTTATTCCCATTCCACAAAAAGGTGACCCAATAGATTGTGGAAATTCTTGAACAATATCACTAGTATCACATGCAAGAGAAATCCTGCTGAAGATCATCCAAAACTAATCGGAATAATACATAAATAGAAAACTACCAGAAACACAAGCCAGGTTTAGAAGAGGCCATTATACTAGAGATGTTATCACCAATGTCAGATGGATCTTGGCTGAACACAAAGAGTACCAGAAGAGTGTCTGTCTGTGTTTTACTGACTATGCAAAGATACTTGACTGTGTAGATCACAACAAATTGTGGCTAACCTTGAGAAGAATGGGAATCCCAGAACATTGATTGTGATCATGCAAAGCGTATAATTGGACCAGGAAGCAGTCACCAGAACAGAACAAGGAGACACTGCATGGTTCAAAATCAGGAAAGGAGTGCATTAAGAATAGGTTCTATCTCCATATCTTTTCAGTCTGTATGCAGAACAGATCATTCAGGAAGCTGGCTTTTATGAGGAGGAATGTGGCATCAGGAGCAGTGGAAGACTTACCAACAACCTACATTATGCAGATGACACAACCTTGATTACCGACTCAAAGGAGGACCTGAAATGTTTGCTGCAGAAGGTCAAGAACTGTAGTCTGCAGTATGATTTGAAGTTCAACATCAAGAAGACAGATTCTTAATGCTGGGACAACTGGTAGCACCATGATAGATGGTGAAGGGATTGAGATTGTTAACAGCTTCCGCTTGCTTGGCTCCACAATCATTACTCTTGGCACCAGCAGTCAGGAAATCAAAAGATGAATTGCATTAGGAAAATTTGCTTTCAGGGACCTCTCCTGAGTGCTAACGAGCAATAGGATCAGTCTAGAGACTAAGGTGCACCTGATCCAGGCTATGGTCTTCGCATTTACTTGCTATGTATCCGAGAGCTGAACAATGACTAGGGATGACAGAAGAATCATCAATGCCATTAAGATGTGGTGCTGGAGAAGAGCATTAAACACATCATGGTCTGCCAGGAGATCAAACAAGTCTGTTGTGGAAAGGGTGAAACCAGGCCACTCCTTGGAGTCAAGGATTTTTAAGCTCTTTCAGACATACTTTGGGTGTGTTGCCAGGAAGGACTAACCCTTAAAGAAGGACATCATACTTGAAAAGGTGGAAGGACAGCGCAGGAGAGGAAGACCTGGATGAGATGGATTGACACAGTAATTAGGGTAATGGGGGTAGGTGTGCCAGAGACAGTGAGACTGGCTCAGGATAGAGTAGGGATCAGAGATGTACATAGAAATCACTATGAGTCGCAGGTGACTCGATGGCACATAA